AGCTGAAGCCAAGCCCAGACCTGGCATCCAGGCAACAGGAGCAGAGGAGACAAGACTTGGAAGAGGAGGAGAAGGCAAGCAGGAAGGTGTAAGTCAAGGGGGACCCAGAAGTCCCCAGAGAGGGTGAGGAGAGGTGATTCAGATGTAGACAGGAAGTGGGCGGAACACAGTGGGCCCGGGCTCGGGGAATCCTCTCTCCCCAGGGTGCTGGGCAGCTCCCCGAGAGAGGTGAGCCCTGGGCTGTGGCAGGGAGGATCCAGTCTCTGCCTCCATAGAGGGCTCCCCTGAGACTCTGGGGACGTCTTCACCCCCAACCAGGACTACAGTCCACGAGGCTGCTGGGGGCTCCCCGCAGGTGCACCTGGTTCTAATCTTGCCACCACACCTTAAAACCTCGAGCAAGTGACACAATCTCTTTGAGCCTCCATTCCCTGATCTGTCAAGTGGGGACAATGTCACATCTGCCTCCTTGTGCCAGTGTGAGGGTCAAATTGATCCCCAAGTAGCACAAATCTGTTCCTTTGGCAGCTGCAATAACCACTTAACATGAGGACACAGGACAGGGCTGGCTGCAGCGACAGCCTCTGGTCCATGGCAGGAGTAAGGGGCCCTTCCATTCCATCCTCTTTAGCCCCAAAGACCCGGGGACATCACCATTCTCCATGAGACTTTAAGCCTCTCAAGGGCAGGAATTTGATCCCTCCCTCCATTCTCTGGAACTGGCACATAGCAGAAGCTTAATAAGATATTTGTTGGGCAAATGAGCAAGTGGATGGAACCTTATTTTCCATAAACATCATCCATTTTCATAATCAGCCCGCAGCCCAGACACTGGCTGGGCTTTTTCACACCCAATCCTCAATCCTTTACCAGGAAGGCTCTGTAGCCCCAGGGGAAACAGAGGCTCAGAGAAGCCCAGTACCCAGTGGCGTGGGGACAGGCAAGTGCTGAAGTCCCAGTTGTATGTCATCCCCGGGCTATTTGCTCTTCCCTTTTTTCTGCCACCTGTCTTCCACATAATTAAGTGATAATGAATTCATTTCTCCACTTTTGTTATTTATCAAAATAACACTTTTGTTATTTATCAAAGCCATATGTAGCTGCCAATCAGAGTCTGTTTGGCAGGAGGAAAAGAAGATTCTCATAGTGGGTGTCCGTCACTCTGGTCCAGAGCAAAGGGTTGAGGCCAGCCTGGCACCTGTGTCGGTTAAGTAGAGGCAGCCAGCAGCCGATGTGGGGCTGTCTTGGTGTCCACCCTGGTGATCACTAACCAGGAGAGGGCTACATTAGACTGGGGATGACGGTGACAGTAACTTAGGAAGTACTTATTCTGCGCCAAGTGCTGAGTTAAGTACTTTCCAGCCCTATGAAGTGGGTACTATTTCATCTCTGTCCCAGGGTGAGGAACTGAGCCACAGACAGGTTTAAGGAACTTGCTTCAGGGCCCACACATGGGATTGGAACCTAGGGGTGCAGGCTCCTCAGTCCCTGCTCCTTACACTGAGGGAAGGGAGGAGAGGGTGGCTAGCCTCAAGAGCCCACTAGGGGAAGAGTGGCCAGAACAAAAGGGAAGCCTGCCTGCCTGATGCAAGGGGTCATGCGATGAGGCAGGGAGGAACTGGGGCCAGGGCCAGGCTGGGTGCGAACTAGGCCACCTTCCTCAAATTCCAAGGTTGCCTGCCTTTCAGCAGGTCTCAGCTTACAGAGCAGAGCCCTACTGCGCCTCACCTAGGCTGTGCCAACCAAGGGTGGGTGTCTCTGAGGGTCTGTGGGGCCACTCATGCTCCTTCCTAGAGGGAGGGAGGAAGAAGGAGGGGGGTTCAGGGTGATGGATGCCCCTGAGGCCACATGAGAGGCCGAGCGTCCAGCTCCACAATGTGATGCCCTGTGTGCCCTGGCTGGACCCTGTGTGTGTCATCTCCAAGTCCCTGCCCAAGAAGTGGGGACCACAGTCCCCACGGTGCAGACAAGGACGAAGGCCTCCTTGTGACCCTGAGCAAATAACCACATCTTTCTAGGTCTCAGTTTCCATTTCTTTGGAATGAGGAGGAGGGCAGAAGCCAACTCTCAAGTTCCTGGAAGAAGTCCATGGCTATAAGCATGGAGGTCAGCGACGGCACAGAGCCCTCTGTCCCGGAGGGTGCCATCCTCAGGACGCGCCCGCAGGATCCACACATGGTTCTCACATACAGAAGGGCTCAGAAATATGAAGGGCAGTACCAAAGGACCTTGGTAACCCTCAGATACAGCCTGCTCCTATAACAGATGGGGAGACTGAGGCCTGGGGAGGGCCAGCTGTCTGGGATGGAAGGCTGGTTTCCCAGCTGTGGCCCCTGAGGAAAGGCTGGCTCCCAGTCCTCCGCCCACTGTCTCTGTCTGCTTCTTCCTCCCTGCCCTCTGTTCTCAGCAAGGCCCTGGCTGCGTTGCTGTGGCTGTGTTCCCTGGGCCCTGCTGGGACCCAGGAGGCTGCAGGCCCACTTGGGCAGTGAAAGCAGAACGTCGGTTTTGTCCTCCATGAGAGCCAGTCTGTTGGCCGCTCACAGCCGGAGCTGGGCTGGGCTCGGCTGGCACAGTGAAGCCTTGTTTCCTTGAATACAAAATCTGCAGCCTCTCACCCTCGCCAAGGCCCCCAGCGGGTGACACTTCCTTCTCTAGAGGTCCAGCTTCCTGGCCCTTTCCTGTCCCCTTTCCCCCTCCCGACACCCCAACAAGCAGTGCTGGTGCCAAGAGGTGGGTAGCTTGGAGGAGTTCAGCTTCCCCTAAAGCCTGCCAAAGCACCCCTCACCAAACTGGCCCCCACTGAAACGGTTTGCAAACACAGATTCAAGACCCTTCCCCCATGCCCCTGCCAACCAAGCTTCAGCCTCCATGCCCTGCTCATTTGGGGGTGTCTGGGTCTTCCCAAACTGCTGGGGGGGGGGCAGAGATGCCATGGAATCCCAAGAGAAGGAGGGCTCTGGGGAAAGGAGAAACTGGGGCTCCTGTTAGATGTGGGTACATGATGTGGAAAATCAGCCATTCATCTGGAAGATGTGAATGGAAGACTCTGGTGCATAAGATAGGAAACCCAAAAAGGAACAATATAGGCTTTGAAGTCACAGACCCTGGTTCAAGTCCCAGCCCCACCATTTTCTAGCTGTGTGGTCTCAGCAAGTTACTTGACTTGTCTGTGCCCCAGTTCCTCATGGGTACAAGGGTGATGAAACAGCTCCGAGTTACGGCATCCCCGGGAGCCCCGGTGAACTCATTCCGGCTTCAGTCCTATCAAGGCTGGGATCTGTCCTTGTACAGCGCCTACCTCTGGGCTCTCCCATGGGCAAACTCTACAAGGAAGTCACTCTGCAAAGCCACAGCTACCCCCGGGCTCAGGCATTTTCAGTCTGCTCTTCCTGAGATATGGAAACCCCCTCTCCTGGCCTTCTCTGCTAGCTTTGAGGAACAGGGCCTGGAGTCACAGCGGGGCTGCTCTGGCCCTAGACTTCATACAGGAAGGTCCTGGGCAGAAGGGCAAGGATTTGACTCCCAGAAAAGTATGGAGCTTCCAACCATGAGACTGGGAACCAAAACCCTCTTCCCCCGCATGAGGGCTGAATGCGGAAGCTGCAGATGCGGCTGGAGAAAGGTGGGGAAGAGCCTTCCTGAGCCTGTGGGCTTGCATATGCCCCTTCCTGGGCTTCCTGCTCTGTGTCTGGGCACTGTCAGCTGTGACCCCTCTGCCTGCCCAGCCAAGGTGGGGCCAGGCTCGTCACACCGCTCCCTTGACCTCGAACTGCCTGTGCCTGCTGGGCTGGACCTCTGGTCTCTCCCAACTCAGCCTCGGCCTCCAGATGGTCCTTCCCCCTTCTGATGCATTCTGTCCCAGGACCAGGGCTGCCCGCTCCCTGGGAGCCAGGGCAGGGGACAGCCACCAAAGGGAGAGGGACCGCACTTTCACCACCACTGGGCACAAACATAGCTGGAGGAGAGTGGCTGCCCATCTCATGTCCCAGTAGCGTGGACCCAGGGACGGACCCAAAGAGGAACTGGGGCCCTTTCTCTCGTTTCTCCCAAGAATATCGTTTTGTCTTGGGGTGGTGGTGGAAGGGCTGTGCCCACCAGCCCAGGGCTGGCCTTCTAACCTGGAGAGAGCAGTGTATGGAACTGTGGGATTAAAGGGCAGGGCTGGGAGGAACTGGGCATCAGATAAGACAGGAGTGGGCCTGGGGCATCCCGGACGCTTTGTAGGGAGGGAAGGAGCAGGAGGGAGGGTGGGGGCCTTCTGGTGGAAGCAGAGAAGGGTGCAGGGTTGGGTGGGGCAAGAGGAGGAGGCAGGATGGGGGTGGAGGGGACTAAGCCCAGAGGGGACTCAGCCCCAAGGGAAGACTGCAGGGCAGTTTGCTCCCAATGCAGTGGGGGACAGTCTCTGCCCCCAGTTTACTAGTAAACGGTGAAAAACTCGGGTGGGGGTGCCGCTGCCAGAACCGCGTCTGGGGATCTAAGCAAGCAGAGGAAATGAAAGAACCCCAGGAAAGTGATATGGCATGGGTGCAGGCAATGGTCCCCCACTGAGAGGCACTGGGGTGCGTCTCTGACCAGCGTGAGTTGGGGTGGGGGTTGGGAACGCGAGTTGCTGGGAGTCCTCGGTTTCGGTGTGGACTGGGGGTGGGAGGAAGGGTCATCAACAGGCAGAGGGGTCCTGGGCCTGGGGCTGGCACCGGTATGTGGTAGTAGCGGGGTCTCGCGATTACCTGGAAGGAGCCACGGGTCCCCGGTGTGGGGGCTCGTGGTATATGGGGTATCCCTAGGAGGAGGGGGTCACGTGCCAGGGGCCCAGGAGCTCCAGAGCCAGACGCGTGGTGGGGTGGCGGGTCTGGAAGCCTCGTGATGACCGGGAAGGGGCTGCCGAGTTGGGGTTCTGGGACGCCTGGCTGGTGGCTGGGCCCGGAGCGGCGCGGGAGCAGGGGATAGGGGTTCGGGCCCGCGGGAGGCCGGGGCGCGGGGTGGCGGGGCCGGGCACTCACTGCTTGAACATCTTCTCCATGTCCTTGATCTGCTTCCTGGAGAACTCCTTGAACTCGGTGTAGGGGTTGAAGACGCGGCGGCTGGGCGACTGGGGCTCTCCGATGCCCTGGTTGAGGTCCGCGCGCCGCAGCAGCTTGGCGCTCAGCTCGTCGTCCGCGCTGCCCAGCGCCTCGGCCGCCTCGTCGGGCGCCCCGGGGCCCTCGGCAGCCGCCGCTCCGTTCAGGCCCGGCTGCCCTGCTGCATCGCCGCCGCCCTCGCCTTCCATTTGCAGCCGCCGGCTCAGCTTGGTGGCCAGCTCGTCCGTGGCCATGGTGGCCCGCGCGGCGCTACTCGGCCCGTACCCTGCTCGCCGCTCGCCGCTCGCCGCGCGCCGCGCGCTTCCTCTTCCTGACACTCCCCGGCCGGCACCGCCCCCGGGGTGGGACTTCAGGGACGCGCGCTCCGCCCCCCCTCCCGCGCCCGCGCCCGCGCCGGGGTCCTTTCAGTCACCGGGGGTCTCGCGTCCCCGCCGTCACCAACCCCTGGGGGACTGCGGAGGGGAGTGTCGTGAGAAGCCATCGCACACCCCGATCATGGCTTTAGGGGGGTAACTGAGCCGCGGCGAAAAGGAAGAGGGGTTACTCGGCCGAAGTTTGGGTGGGTGGGGGTCGAGGGCTTTGGGTATCAGCCCCCAGCCCCTTCTCTGGAATCTCCACGCTATGAAGTCACCATCCCGTGTCTGTGACACCCTGTCGGTTGCCATGGAGACACCTGGATGAGAAACACTGGCATTCTCTGCCACGGTTGCAGGGTGTGAAGAAGGTGGACCTGTGAGCAGGAGCCCAGGGCAGACGGAACTAAAGCCTCTTTCTGCAGGACATGCCAGGAGATTGCCACCCCGCAAGGTCCTGGAAGTCCGGGGGAGGGTCAGGGGTGGGTGCTCTCTCCCCCAGGGCCAGCAACACGTGGATGACTCTGCAGAATAGCTGCTGGGCCGGGTTGTTGAGACCTTGATGGTGCTATTTTATGGGGACCCTGGAGGAGAGATGTCCTCCCCAAAGGCTCCTAGGAGGGAGCTGGGGGAAGAGTTCAGGAGGATTTATCTCTGAGATCCAGTCTATCACCTTAAAACTGCAAAGCTCCAGCCTCAGAACCACTGGTTATAATACAGATTCCCAGGCTCCAACCCAGACAGACATCCGAATCTCAAGGGTGGACCCAGGAATCTGCATTTTAACAAGCACCCAGGGAAGGTGCTGACCCAAGGTTGAGATGGAGGACTATGCGCCATGCATATTGTCTTAAATGTTATGACAATGCTGAAGCCCACCGTAAAACCATACTCACAAGCCAAGCTGCAGACAAAGATGGATGCAGGCTGAGAAACTACTGCAGTGAAGATGGAGAGCTTTCTAGAAGGGGAGGCCGGACAGTTGTTGAGAGCAAATTGCATAGGGCCAGGGATTTAGCTCAGTGGTTCAGCTGCCTGCCTCGCTAGCACAAGGACCCGAGTTCGATCTCTGGTACCAAAAAAAAAAGAGCAAATTGCACAGAAAGACATTCAACTGATGTGTTGATCTGTTTATGAACATTATTGAACTGAAAGGTATTTTGCAAAATGAATCAGAAAAAACGCTTCGGAATTCAGAAAATGTGAAATTGTCATTCACTCCTTCATGAGAATAAAAATGTTCAGCTTCAATGATTTTTTTTGTGTGTGCAGAATTACGTTTCTGTTAGTCTGGGGCAGTTTGGTCCATCTACTTGCAAAAGCCAGGCTCCATATCTCTCACATACCCACCTGAAGGGCCTGACAGAAGAAAAAGGCTCTGTTATTTAATGAATACAAAGGATTGAGGTATAAATTGAAATGTTTAAAATTACCTCTCTAGATGCTTAGGTTCCCAAAATCTTGGTCTTCCTCACAAAGTAGCTAATTTACTTTCAAACTCTGGTGATGCTCAGTTTACCCCAAATTAGGACTTCTAAAGGTTTTGCATGAAACAAGACTGCCTTTATTATAGGATATTTGCATCTGCTTGACATGGGAGCAAACTTAACAGAGTACATGAAGATTTTTTTTCTTGGAAGACCACATACATTTATGTGATAAAACTGGGGTTTTGCTTTGAATGAGTTGGACTGGCTGTGTGGATTTGGCTTCCCGGTCATCTCCCACTCAGCATGTGTGGACACAGCCCTAAGGATGGAGTGACTCTGGGACACACAGTGCAAGAGTTCCCCTTCAGTACCTGTTGCATCTCGTAAAAAGGGAGCTGTCCACTGGAGCCTCGATGCTCTTAAACGCAGAGCTCAGGAAATGCTGCCCAGATGGGTGAGTCTTTTTTAACACCTCTTGGGTTGACTTTTCTCAGCTCTCAGGGTTTGCAGAACTATGAGGCTCTGTGACCACAGGGCAAGAGGACAACCTGCCTGGTGCCTGCCCACCCATTTGAGGCTTTTGGCTCGGGCACCACCTGTAGAGAGACCACTGATGTGATCTGCCCAAAGTCAGAGGTGCATGCTGGGGGCTCATTTTGTTTGACCTTATTTTTCTCTAGGGTCATTGGATTTTAAGCACTTTTTTCCTCCCCAGAAACTGAAGTAGTGGAGGAGAGAAAAAGGAAAGATAAGTGATGAGCTCTGATTGGAGATGAAACTTTCAGGAATCCCAGTGGCCTCTTTTGTAGGGTTAATTGCTTTTGCATGAGCCTGAGCTCTGTGCCCCAAGCATGGATTCTGGCAGAAAGAAACGATTGGCACTGGTGACACATTACAGCATTTGGTCATGTGGAAAGAATGATCTTCAGGAAAAATCACACCCTCGGCAAAGGATTTTTACAGAGGCTGGGGTGAGCTAGAGCCAATTCTGATGCTATTGCAGCGGTGCGGGAGTGAGGCGGACTTAGTCATCATTGACTTCTGTTTCTTTTCCTCCTCCCACATACACTTGTGTAACTGTCTTTTGGGGAGGGACAAAGTCATATGAAGAAAAACAACAGGACTTTGCAAAACAGGGGCAGGGTACAAGAAGGGCAAAATAGGCTGGGAAAAGCTCTGGGGTGATGAGGAGATGGCACAAGACCTGGGGGACACTCTAGAGCCTGCCAGAACCGTGTGGTCCCCCCAGCCTGCCACGCTGGGAAACCACCAAGGATTAGCAAGCGGTGAGACATAAAGATGGCTCATAAAATGCAGCATCCGCTTAGCACTTCACAAATACCAGCCGCTAATTAATCATTACAATCTCTCTGCAGTCATCAGGAGTCCCTTGATGAGTTGGAAAGATGCTCAGAGGTCAAGGTTCAAGGAAGCACAAATAGTCAATCGAAGCATTCTGGGTGTGGACAGGAGTCAGAATCACAGCCTGCCTGGCCTCAGAGGCTTTTCTCATCTCTTGAGAAATCTGGAAGTCATGCAAGGAAGGGGTGAGATAGGGGAGCAAGGTGCGGCTGGTGTCAGACAGGCACTTAGGGGACCCCTCACGGGGCAGGTGGAAAAGGGGATGGTGGCAGGGATGACAGCTGCAGGTGGACCCACTTACAGATCACTAGAAACCAACTTATCTCTCGAGCTGTCTTTTGGGATCATCATGGATACTATGAATGTATTTGAGGGGCTAGATGGTCTTCAAGTCAGGTGTATGTGTCCAACTGAGCATAATTTGTGTTTCTAAGTCAATGGTCATATATAACACTGTGAGGGGCCCAAGTATTAGGCCTGTTTTAAATTCCCAGAGAGTGTGTGTGTACATCACGTGTGTGTGGTGGGGAAGGAGATACCTTAAAACTCAATGATGCTGTTTCTACAGTGCCCTCCTGGATTCCTTCCAAAGATGCTGCCAATATGGGCGGCACACTGGTATTTTTATACTGTCAGTGGCTACTCTGGGAAAGCAGTGTGTGGTTCCATCCACCAAAACAAGACACATTGGTTAACTGTGGTGAGGCTTGGGCACTGGTCCCGCAGCACTCCTGCTTGTAAGCCCCTGGCAAAAGGTCCAAAGTAGCCATGCCGAAGTTTATTGGAGTTTATTGTGAGATTTATTGGACCTCAAATGGGTTACTAGGAAAGGCTACAACTATTCTGAAGCTAGCCACACACCTCCTTTGTGAGGATTCAGTGGAGGGAAAGGGGATGTTACCAGAACCCCTACAGTGGGTCCTGGTCTCCTGTGAGCCACAACAGCACAAGGAAAATTAAAGAATAGAGACAGGAAATGAGACTTAGAGAAAAAGCTAGGTCTTAGGGCTGATCAGTGCTGCTCTGGGCAGCAAAGCACCCTGAGCTTGCCACTATTTATTGAATTCATAAGGAGTAACAGATGCAGAAGGTGGTGATAATCCTAAATTGACAAGGATTTTTATAATCTGAGGGAGTATCAGATGTCTTAGAGGGCAGCAGTAATCCTATGACTATGAGGATTTTAAACTGATGAGGATCTTAGGTCCATGAGGAGCTTATGTTGATTAGGACAGTAAGATGAGCAAAGATGTTCTTACAACAGTAGGTGGGATGAGTTAAGCTGATAAGGAATTTGTCCTCCCCAGGTGAAATCTTTCTCTTACTACTCAGTTTTCAAGGAACCAGGATGTCTTCAGCTGGTGTAATCTTGCCCTGGAGTATCACAGCATCACTGGACCATTGAGGTCTCAGCTGTGACTGGAGGCAAAAATGGAGTTATGTTTCGGCATGTCATAGCCGGCCTGTAGGCAAGAAGATGAGACCTAATCATAATTTAATTGTGAAATGATTTTTTCCCCCAAAATTATGTAAAATGGCTCCTGACAACCCAGCACTCATTACCCACTGTGAAGCATTTCTAAGATATCTGGTGTTCTACCTGCATCAGGATTTTGCATCTCAGCACCCAGCATGGTACTTGGCCCGAACTGAGTGCTGGAAAAATATTTGTTGAATGAATACATAATGGCCTGCTCTGCCTGAAGGCTGGAGAAATATTGAGTGTTTCCTCAGTGTCCCCTCCAGAGCATCCGGTGGCCCATATTTAGGTCTGAAAGTCACTGCCAAGAAAGAGAAGCTGCTAACATGACACCTCTCTCTGTGCACCTACATGAGTTCACACAAAGGTTACAGGAGCTCTTAGGACACAAGCCTCTCAAATGTCTGTCCCAGTCTCCTCCAGGGAAGTGGCAGTGGCATCAGATAGGGGTTGGGGCCGCGTGACCTGCTGGTCCTCGGGCATCACTCTGGTGCAGAGGACAAGGCAGAAGGAGTGATGGGGGAAGGTTCCGGCAAACCGCACGTGGCCACTGCAGGGGCATCAGGAGCTTGGGACACTGAAAGGGACACCATAAAGTTAACCCACAGTGGACCAGTGTGGAGAAAGGCAAAGTCAGGTGAAAGGAACAGTGTGGCACCTCGAGGGCACCTGAGGTATAAGTGAGGACAGCAGGTTCTCATGGGGCAGGGAGGCTGGGAGCCAGGTGTGTCATGAAGATGACATCCGGTCAGGCCTGTCCAGGGGAAGCTGGATTTCAGGCCACTGAGCTCTCTGATGACCGAGGAGTGTGGTGTGATGGCTCGGAGCTGGGTGTGGACATCCCAGGGGGAGGACCTTGGGCAAGTTACTGCGCTTTTCTGACCTCAGTTGTGTTGCCCATGAAATGGGCCACTGCTGTCCTCTTGCAGGACTTGAGAGAGCAGATGAGAAAACAATGTAAGATGTTCAGTGCAGCTCGGGGCACACAGTGAAACTCAAAACACTCCCCATGGGGAGGACAGCGATCATCTGGCTTCCCAGTGGTCACAGGAAGGCAATAATCATGCAGATTTTACCACTCTGTTCTGGTGACAGTTTAGGGCTACCAAATTGCCCCCACTGCTTATGTTTGTAAATAGGCACATTCACTTACCTCTCATGCTGCAGTGGTGGAGTTAAGTGACCCAACTCCGCCACTGTTGACACATTAGTCAACAAAGCTACATAGCCTTTTACAGAAAAGGGGCTTTTGTTAGCTGGTCCTTTGTAGAAAAAGTTTGCCAACCCCATCCTCAGCATCAGCGGGCTCCTGGACTGTGCTGAGACAGGGCTACATGAGAGCAGTCGAGGCATGAATTCGGAACTCTGACCCTTGCCCTGTGACCTTGGGCAAGTTACTTACCTCCTCTGGGCTCCTTGTCTCTCAGGCGAAACAGGAGCCATGCACACAAGGAGGACTGAGTGGGGTGATGTCTGCCTCTCACAGTGACCGAGAGCAAGCACACTCTAAAAAGTAGTTATTATTATCAGTTATTACATGTCCAGCTGCCAAAAGGCACAAAGAAGCCTCTAGCCGAGGGTCACTGCTGCATCCACCTCTCTTTAAAGAACACCCAGCAATAAACCTGTCCGAAGCCAAAAAATGTGTGAATGTCAAACACGGGCTCTCCCACGCAACATACCATGAACCTGCTTCCAACCCCCTTTCTGTTAGAGCGGTAGATTAGAATGTGAAGCAGGGGCACAGGTCAAGACTGAGCAGTACTTAGTAGGTACCCAGTATTTGTTGTATGGATGAATGAAGGCTGGTTATTTGCCTAGAAAGGTGACTTGGCAGTCAAAGGGCACTTCTGGGCTCTCTGATGAGAAGACCACGGTTAGCTAGAAAGTAACATTATTTCTGTTGGCAGGATTTTAGGGTATTAGTGAGGAAACTGGCACAATAAAGACGAGAGGAAACTGAAAACAGGGACCACAGGATGGAGGATTCCTGGAGGAACAGATGGGTGAAGAGAAATGTTTAAAAACAAAACCAGGCACAGAAGGTCATGTGTTGGCCCAAAATAACCAGGGACACAGAACAGACGGATGCAAGCGGCACATCCTGATGGAAATGGGCCCAAGCTGATAAACCGAAATAGTGTCCCCTCTCTGGGCACTCTACCTCCTGTTCAGGAGGCCGCTGCTCAAAAAAGAGGGACAAGGGATGCATTAGCATCACCAGGGCTTGGGTTTCTGCTGCTCCTTACTGTACTGCTTTCATCCCAAGTTGCTAAAATCTTGGAAACCACTGTACTTCCCAAGAGCACACTCTGGAATGCAGATTGGAAGCTATTTTTTCCCCCAGACATTTCATGGCTCTAGTTTCTGTAACAGCAGGTGCTGGTTGTGAGAGAAGCGCACCTTATCTGCAAAGTCACGATTCCAAGAATCCACATAGCTGCCATTGGCAAGGGCAGAAGGAAGTTCTTGTAGCTTCTTAGAGGTGCAGGTGGACTGGGGGGTTTGCAGGGACTGCAGGTATTCTATCAGCATAACTCCCCAAGGAAAGGTTGCCTGTAGCTTCTCAGACCCGCTCGTGGGGACAGCAGGAAAGTGTCTTTGTAAAGGCCAGTTTGGTTGCAAATAACAGAGATCCAGACTGGTGGAAGTAAAAAGAGAAAACAAATGGGGAAGAAAAGTCAGTCCTTGGCTGTCCAGGCCTGACTTCAGCTCTGCTTAGCCTTTGATTCTCCAACCTTCCTCATTTCCTTTCAATAAACCAACTTCCCCTCAGCTTGTTGGCCATGGGAAATTTCTGTTGTTTGAAACCAGGAATCTTGAAGGATAGAAGGGGTCCTGGTGGAACCTGAAGGGGGGCATTGAAACTGACCTTCACAAGGAGAGGCACTAGGAACCAGGATGTCACTGGCAGTCAACATCACTTTCTCCTTCTGCTTCAGTTGGGATTATATAAAGCTTCAAATAACAGAAGCCCAATGTGGGCAAATGGTAAAAATCTGTCTCTGTCTTTGTCAGGTGGGAAATTAACGCACGCAAGGCAGGTAGAGACTTGAAAAGTGCCAGAGCACCAGGCTTGCTCTCGGACCTGTGACACCACCATGTGGACAAGCCTGGTCTGGCCTGCTGGGTGATAAGAGTGTGCTGAGCTGAGAGAAGGTGTCCCGGTCAAGGCCTCTGTAGGGCAGTTTCTCAAACTTGCAGACGCTGACATTTAAGATGAAATGATCCTCTGTTCTTGGGAGCTGTTCTATGCATTGTAGGACGTTTAGCAGGATTCTGGCCTCTACCTGTGAGATGATAGTAGAATCCTCCTGTCTGCATTGTGACAATCAAAATGATGTCCAGATACTGTCAAATGTCTCCTAGGGTGGCAGGAAGTGAGGCCACCCTAAATCACCCAGCCCCAGCCATGTCAGCCAAGAGAGTAAAAGTGCACAGCTGTACCCATGGAATCATGAGAAATAATATCTGCTATTTTCAGTCATGAAGATTTGGGCAATTTGTTCCCCAGCACAAACATACCAAGCAACGGTGGCTTACATGGGGAGGGACTTATTTGTCCTCTGTAAGAAGTTTAGGTTCTGGAGCTCAGAGATGCCACCGGGCCCCACCCAAGTCCTCTTGTCCTTTTACTCCATCATCTGTGGCAGCTGGGCTTTGGCCTCTTGCTTGGCGCCTTGCTTGGCCAAAGCAGCTGTTCTTGCTCTCAGTCTGAGCTCCAGGAGTGAAAAAAAGACCAGGCAAAAGGACAAAGGGTGGAATTGTCCTCCTAGTGAACCTCACCTCTTATTCCAGAAGGGAAGCTCTCCCAGGGCTTTTACTTATGTGTCAGCAGCCTGATCTGTACAACATGGCCTGTCCCAGCTGCAAGGGAGGCAGGAAAAACGAGGCATTTAGCATTCAGCCTATGTGGTAGAGGAAGGCTGTGCATGGCCATGACTAAGAAGCCCATGCCTGCTCCTCAGTGTCTGGTTAGCTGGTTAGTACCTGCAGCACTCACTGCACCATGTCTCTGTGATTCTGGGGTTCCTAGCCTCTACCCATTGCGTATCTATTCCAGACTTCTCTTTCTGCAGACTGACTTTGCTTCTCTGAACACAAGGGGAAATGGCCACCCCAGCCTGGAACTGCACCAAGATCTCAACTTCAGCCCATTAAGTATCTGAATGGTATCACAGTGTCCCATTTTTAAATACCAAGGGCAGAGATGCTGATTGGATCAACAAGAATTAGGAGGGAAATCTGATTGGTCTGGTCTGGTAGGGTATCTACTACCAAGCCAATCAGCTGCAGCCAAGGTGTGTTGTGTGGGCAAAGGCCAATGGGGGTACTGCTCCGGGGAGGGAAAGTGCAGCTGAGCAGACACTGAAGATCTCTCCAGCTCAAGGCGTGAAAAGAATAAACTGCCAACATGGGTTGATGGGTTGATATGATAAACATTAATGTGTCCTTTGAAAGACCTAAAACACAGTGGAGTCATACGGCATTATATTTACATATGCAAATCCAAATATACATGTTCCTCGACAAATGATGTATTTTTCACACAATTTGATTCCCAAACATGTGTCAGCTGCTTAAACTGCTGCTTAACCAAGTGATTTGGTCTGGTGCTGGAGAGGAACTTGCTGTTTTTGACTTCAGGGATAAGGTGCAGCCTAAATTTCTGAGACTTTCAAGAGATTTTTAAAGGTTAAGTAAAGGTCATTTTTCTCATTGACTTTACATACCAACACGATATAATACAGGCCTTCCAAGAGTTTCTTCTATTTTCCCCAAGTTTTAATCAATACAAAGAATACATTTGGCTTTAACATATAAAAATATTTTTATTGTGGATTTTTCAAATAAAAAAACTCAGCTGGACTCATGACTTCTGGCTCTACGCTACCAGAGAAGAAAGGTAGTGAGAGGAGAGAGAGTATGGGAGAAGCAGGGCATGAGGGTCTTTCCAAGCCCCACAGGAAGGGAGCATGTCCACCTGGGCTGTGTGCTCTTTGGTGACTGAACACTTGCCTTGTCCTTGAGGCCTGGGACTGGAGTGACTGGGCCAACTTGGTGTGGCAGAATGGATAGTAGGACATAGAACTAGAAATTGGTGCTCAACTCCCAGCTGCTGAGTCTCCTAGCTGTATGATCTTAGGCAGGCCAGTTAGCCTTCCTGGGCCTCAATTTCCTCATCATAAAATGGGGAACACAATTCTATTTAGCTCCCAGGGATCAGGGGAGGATTAAAAGAGAGATGTTTTGAAAATTGCAGAGTGCTGTAGACATCAGTCATTATTACCGAAGCAATAAAACTGATTGGCATTCTAAATTTATTATAATACAGTGAACTCAGATATAAAGTCACTATACCATGGCCCCAGAGTCCTTAGGTTCCCCTCTACCTTGGGGCTGCAGGACAGGTTGTTTTAGGTGTTCTCCACTGGGGTCTCGTGGGGCTTCTTGGGGATGTGATGTTTGGGTACACAGCTTGACCCAAATGCAGAGTACATAATGTAGCTATCAGACTAGGTGCATGGATTATAAACAGTCTCTTCACATACTTGAGTGCATATACAGTGATAGGTATGTAAAAGAGAAACTCTCTCCCTCGTGCTCCAAAGAACACACTATGTTCTACCACCAGTCTAGAAAGCCAACATTAGGGTAACAATCTTTAAAGTCTTAGGAAGCTCTTAGGATTTTGGGATTTTGACACGCAAGAGTCAAATGACTCACAGAGGTATTGCTGGAGGCCAGGTGGGGTGAAGTCTTCTTAGTTCCTTCCTCCAGACTTAGTAAACAGAAGACTCTGGTTGGATTTGGGGGGTGTTTCTCTCCTTATCTCTTTTTCTTGGTCCATCTTTAGGGTGGATTTCTTGGATCCAAACTTCAACAAGCAAGAGGCAAAATAAAAAATAAAAAAAAATTCAAACTCTATAATTGTAGTGAGATCCCAAAATGTGCCTCACAAATAGTCATGTTTTTGTACACAAAAGA